ATTAGTCAAATCTTTTTACTTGCGGTCACATTTTGTAGGTCTCATAAATACCAAGAAATCTTATATGAAGAGTTTTTTCGTGTATGCCAACAGTTTCGATTGAATCCCAAAAAACAAGTTTTCTCATTATTTGTTGTTGAATAAAAAGTGTTCCCACAAAATTGGTGTACCCATTTCATGCGTCCATGAACAACTTGCAGCAATCAAACCAGACTTTACAATTATTTCGCAAACCAGGGGTATCTTCGTCTAATATGATTAGACTATAACCAAGACTATATATTATATTTTTTATTTATTTAAATATTTTTTTAAACCCAAAATTACCTATTTGCAACCTTTTCTTTTTTCTTACATTATGTCATCTTTTATGTATTTAACTTTCAGGCAAAAAAATATTTTTTATCAATTTTCATCATAAATTTTGTTAAAATTTCCGCGGGCGCTATGATGTAACTGTAATCTCAGAAGCCTCTGACCTATTAGGTTCAATATAGTTGACGTTTGGAAAAACAACTGAATTTGAAAGGAATGTTGACAGTCGCTTTACGCTGTCATGGCATATTTTTAGTAAATCCGTGCAATTTTTTAAGAAGTTTGACACTAGTGACACTAGTGAGTGTAGAGGTGTTGTATTTGAACAGAACCAAAAACAGAGTTCAACTGTTAAAAGCGCTTAAGTTATATTTTTACACCACAAAAACATTAATGTACGCTATTTTTATTAAATTTGGTTTACATGTTCATTTTGGGAAAAAACTGTTCATTTTGACGGGATCTATCACATACTCAGTTTTTGTAAAGTTTTGAGCATTTTGATTTAGGGTCCCCACAACCTGCATTAATGCAGAAATTTACGAATTTCTCGAAAACTGCTCACCATACCCTAGTTAACAGGAGGGCCTTTTTTGCTAAAAAAGATCGAGGAAATTGTTTTTTTTTTTAACAAAAGAAGAAAAAACTACACTGAGAAAGAAGTTATGGCCATTTAAAACGATACGAAGTGCAGTGTGAAGTGCCTTCCAGCTGCCACAATGAAACGATGTCCATATTCGAGATTCGCATCCCAAAAAAACCTCGGATACCAGTTTTTGAAGTAATACGTTAAGAAGTGATCATAAATTAAAAATAAAACGATTTTTATTTTCTTCTATTTTCTAACTTTACCACCCTGCAATTTTGGACTAAGATCAAAGACTTCAAATCAGATTATTTTGAACTCAGGAATATGTGATAAATTTTGTAAAGACCTTTTAGGGACGCCCTGTATAGTGCCGCCATATTCAATTTTTGACATTTGTCAATTTCTGAAACAATTTTTTACATAGAATTTCTTTAGCTTTCTATGGCTCATAAAAATCGGTTTAGCAGTAATAAAATTAGAAATCTTGATACTTTTTTTTGCGGAACCACTGTGCGTCGGTCCGCCCGCAACCAGTAGCCAGCGTTTCTGCTGCTTTACTGCTCTGGAGTAGCAAAGCTGTCGCTTGCGATTAGTCTTCAGAACAATACCTTCTCAGATAGTTGTGGGAAAAACCTTTTTCTAATTTTAGCGACACTAAAATTCGTAATCTAAATATTAATGAACTCCGACGAAGAAAGTACGATCTGTGAAGAGAACGCTCAGGTGAAATTTGTAGAGTTACTAGAAAATTATAAAGTGGTGCTTCAGAAATCGCAAGTGCCATGATGAAAAAAGCAAAAGAGGCTGCATTAATGAAGTTGCAAGCTGAGTGGCAGGCGTTGAGTGGAAAAGCGATAGGTGTAAAGCAGTTATCGAAAAAAATAAATAACATGAAAACAAAAATCAAAAAGAAAACAGATATAAATTAAACTGGCCACAAACAAGTTGAAGTCATGGGAACAGGCATTTTGGAGGTTAATGGATGGCGACAGAAACCCAGACTTGAGCAGAATACCAAGTAGGAATCAAATATTTATTTTATTATATGAGGGATGTCTTTTAAGTTTTGCATATGGAAATAAAACAACACGGTAGGTAGTTCTAAATGACTATTGATTTTCGAAGTATTCTCCACGAAGATTAATACACATCTGCATGCACTCGAACCAATTTTTGAAGCACTTATTCCACTCGTTTGCTGGCAGATTCAGAACGGCATTTTTGAATGCGTCAACTGCTTGTTCTGGTGACTGGAACCTTTGACCACGCAGTCTGTTTTTAATTTTCGGGAAAGTAAAGAAATCTTTAGGACTTAGATGGGGACTATATGGAGGATGGTCCAATAATTCCACGTTTTCTTCCGTTAAATACTGCCTTGTTTTTTGGGCTGTGTGCGAGCTTGCATTGTCTTGGTGGAGGATGATTCTTCTTTCGGGGTTGATTTTTCGAAGCTCGGTGATGAATTTTGGCAAACAAATGGTGGTATACCAATCCGAAGTAGCAGTTGTTTTCTCATTAAGAAGAATTGTTGCAATATGACCCGCTTTTGACACAAATGTCGCGACCGTCTTTTTTGCAACACTTCGAGAACGGATGACTTTTGTTGGCTTTTCTTCACCTTGGAACACCGAAACAGCCGAACGTCGTTTTTTTTTTCTAGTTCATAACAGTAAATCCATGATAGTTTCCACACAGCATCGACGTTTTCCTGGGTGACTGCCGTTTTTGTTGCACCCACCCTGGGATCGTCGCTAAGACTCTCCCGTCCACGTTTGCATTCTCCATACCAAAGGGAAATTGTCGACTGATGTGGCGCTTCGTTGCCGAAAACAGACAGTAACTCAGCAAGGCATTCTTGTTGCGATAATTGTCTCTGAAAGTTGTAATAAATTATGGCGCGAACATATTCTCGGTTGAGTTCCATTTTTTTAATGACTTGGTGACACTTAGAAATTCACTGTAGTGAGAATCCTTCACGTATGGTTGTGAAACTTTGAATTTAATTTTCTAAAGAGTGAGGTTAAGATTCAGTACTGACGTTCGATCCGCGCGGCCTACTATGTTTCTATATGCAAAACTTAAGAGACATCCCTCGTAAACTATAAATTATAAAACTAAATTTCATTAGGTGCTGTGAAAGTTGGCGTGCCACCACCGATACAGACTGCTGTTTCGGTAGAAGGTATCTCCTCGGAGTCTCACTTATCTGTTATGGTTGTAGAGACCGCAACCAGCTCGCCGTCAAAGAAAAAGAAAAAAGGTTGTCTTCCAGAGACATTGGAAACACAAAACCTATCAACGGCTGAATTACAGAGATTAGTTTTGTTAGAACAATTTGAAGTCTTGAGGTTAAAGAAAAGAAAATTGATGAGAGAGTTAAAAGAGAATGAGCCTGAGAAGGAGTTAGTTACAGAACATGATAACCCTGTTTACACAGTTATAAACTACCCCACCGTACTTTGAGAGTGCGATATTTATGTTGAAATATTTGTTTTTCATTAGTAATTGAACACAAAATTGGTATTCCTTCTCTCAGATCATGCTTAAGTTTTGTATTTATGATATTTGTTATATTTTTATTAAATTTTGTGTTCCAGGTCTTGGATTATAATTGGACGGCTCTTTGCAGAAAGGAACCAACCCACTAAGAATAGGAAATCTAAATCTCATAAAAATAATGCATTATATCATTTAAAGATTTTAGTTATATTATATACACCTTTAAGATGCCAATGATTAAAATTGTTTTTAATTTATGATGATTTTTTTATTATTGTCAAAACTCGAAAGCCTAATTACTCAATAAGGTTGTGTTGTGGGTTAGTTCCTTTCTGCAAAAAGCCGTCCAAGTATAACTTTCAAATTACCCTGTTGAAAAATGAGACGAGCAATTTCCTCCCGTCTTCGCATTCCAATTCTCTTAATGTTGTTAAGGTCGTCGTCCGCATTTTGTTCAACAGAGTTATTTACCTCATTATTAAGCTGCACTTCTTCCAATTCGAAGTCGGGATCGCCTAGTGTTTTTGCGATGTTGTGTAGAATAATGCAGCAAACTATTAGTTTAGGGATGTTTGTAAGCTTCACTCGAGTTTTATGTTGCAGTATGGAAAATCTTTGCTTCAGCCATACAAAGCAACGTTCAATACAAGGTCTTTCCTTCTTCAAAAAGTTATTGTATCGGATCTCTTGTGGTGTATTTGGAAATCGATAGGGAGTCATTAAACAGGGCTCTATTCCATACCCTTCATCTGCCAGGGGCAAAGATCGTTCTGTATTGCGACCCATAACGGAACAAATGTTAGACCTTTTCCAGATTCTACTGTCATGGGTAGAACCGGGCCATTGTGCATCTACACTTGTAAATTTGTCTTGTGCATCGCACGTTGCTTGTACATTGATGCTCGCAAAACCTTTTCGGTTTATATATTCATCTCCAGATTGGGAAGGCTTTTGAATACGGACATGTGGGCAATCCACAACTCCAGCTGCGGCTGGAAACACATAAACCTCAAGCCAACGACGCTGGGCTTCACGTATTTCCTCATTGGAAGATGGAAAGTTGATCCACAGATTTGCTTTCTGCCAGACTTTTTCCGTTACTGATTTCCCCCATACCGTTTTGGTAACCCGGATCAGCGATATACTCGTACCGCAAAAACACTTTCATTTTCAGAAACGGTGGTAATGCACCACCACGTGTCTCCGTCTCGTCACCAAAGAAATGGTTGGCTAACCAATGCACGTTTGCTTCATTGAAACGATAAAGGCACTTAGAATCATTAGGTGATGTTTCTGCGCGTCTTTTGTAACGTTTTACGGCTCTTAGATTATTTAGAAACGTCATAATTACCACTAAACGCGAATTCTGCACTGGAGCTGGGTGGAGATACCTTCAGAAAAATGAAGTCTGTGCTATAGATCCCTAGCAAAACCTTGATTAAAAATACGATCTGAAGTATTATTATATATATTATATTTATCATATACTTTGAAGGTTTTGCTTCATGAATTTGAAGTGAAAGCATTTGCTACGTTTTATTCACGAGACCCATTATTATTAGAAGGCGGGCAAAATATTGGTGGATGTGCATATTTATAAGGTACGTGCAACATTCAACACTTATTTGATTGCAAATTGTAAAACCTCAAGGTTCAGTTTACTGGTTTTGGTGAATGGTGAATCATCTATTTGTAGACTTAACAAATGATAGTATTTTCTCACCTCATTGGCTAAAATAGTTCCATAAAAGCAATGGATATAAATGATCATTATCATCTCACTGAGATACGGAACCATAAACACCAGCTCTATAAACTTCACCTAAAACAAGAAAGTATCGTAGAAGGTCATCGTCTAAAATTTTACTCTTTGTTCTCACCTCAAGTATCAACGAAAGTGACGTACAGATGTTTAGTACTCCAGTGACGAACACCACAGTCAGACCAATTTTGCATATGTTATGTATTCTCTTGGTAAACCTGAAAATAACCCATTTGGTACAAAATGTAACCTACTGATTTAAAATAAAAACATAGGCGAAGGTGGGGGGGACATGGACGAGTTCCATCGATATACTACCTCAATGTTTGCGTGGAAAAAAGAATTTGCTACCCTTCTTCATTGAGTAAACACTACCTGAGCGCAACTCAGTAACAACAAGCATGAACCCAAACGTCCACAGACAATAATGAAGAAGCTCGAAAATACTTGGTAATGTCCACTATTGGACAATTGAAGCATAAGTGCAACACTGAAAGTTATCGAAAGAAGTACTGCTGCAGACTATACTACCCAATCCTGGATTGTCGTTACTATACTAAGTGGCATAGAAAATATAAGACCCAGTAATAATGAATTTATTACAACTATTTTTTGTATACATATTTCTTCAGGATGTCATATTCCCTCAGAAGCACTTCTGGGTACACTACTGATCATATTATCAATTTCTTATTCGGTATCTCATCCCAGGCTACCTACACCTAAACGGAGTAATATCCTTCCGATAATGTACCAGTCGAGTTCGAAGGGTGAATGATCGGGCGATCTAGGGGCCCTAGCAGCAAAACGACTCGGTTGTCTTCAAAATGGTCCAATGTAAATCTGGCTCTATGTGATCGCGCATTATCTTGTTGGAAAAGTGAGATTGTGTATACAGGGTGTTTCAGTTTATTGTTGCATACCTTTAAGATTCGATAGAACTTTTAAAATTAATGCATAAAGTCTATATAAACATGGGTCGAAAAATGCATGGCTTCCGAAATACAGGGTGTTTAAATTTACTTTCTAAGATAGTTTTTTTTTTAAATATGTCGAACAATATTTGATGTATAACAGTGAAAATTGGTATACAAGGGTTTTTTGGTACGACAAAACGAACCATAGTTTTACTGTAGCCGCTAGAGGGCGCTCTCTACTGTACCTGTAGTGTATTAAAATGACCGAAAATTCTTTCTTAGTGCAATTTTTTGCTTTTTGAACAAAAAACTGATTATTTGCACTTTTCTGCATAAAAAAGCTCTCCTGTGAGTCTTCGTTATAGTTAGCCGTTTTTGAGATATTTCGATTTTTAAGGTTCGATACATTTTTAATTATTTATGATAAAATAACATTAAAAAGTCAGTATCTCGATAATTTTTAGAAGTAGGCTGTGCGTGCAAATAGTTTTGAAATTTAAAGCCGAATAAGGTTAAACGTCAATTAGTTGACAGTTAGTTTTGTTGTCTGTTGAAGTTTTATAAAAATGCCATTTTTATTCTCCAATCAAGAGTTAGCGGATATTCATTTAGTAATTTGGAAACGCAGCAGAAGCAGCCAGAGAATACGCACGAAGATTTCCAAACAGACGACATCCAACTCGCTCAGTATTTGTAAGAGTGCATCGCCAAATAATTGAAAATGGTTTTGGAAATCTCCAAAGGGATCAAAACATAAATGTTCGTCAGCGCAGATTTACCCGTATGATTCTGCATGAGTTTGATAGAGTTCCGACCACAAGTGTTAGGAGAGTTTCTGGTGCCTTGGGAATTTCAGCAAGCCATGTTCACCTTGTTCTTAGAAATGACCATAGGACGTCCTTACCATTTGCAACCTGTGCATGCACTACAGCCAGGGGATGGAGGACGAAGAATCACATTCGGACCGATGAGTCATGCTTCACTAGACGTGGAGTGGTACATTTTTATAATCAACATATTTGGTCGCATGAAAATCCGCATGCAGTTCGGGAAAGAAATTTTCAGCATGAATTTAGTGTGAACGTGTGGATTGGTATCAACCGTAATCGACTATTTGGACCCTACCTTTTTCCTGCAAGGTTAAATGCTTTGACCTTCTTGGAATTTTTAAAGGCTGAACATGTAAATATGTGGGATGATGTTATGATAGATTTAAGAAGATTGGCCTGTTCCAGCTTGATGGTGGTCCAGCTCATTATTCGAGAATAGTTAGAAACTGGCTGGACGGAAATTATCCAGAAAGATGGATCGGCCGTGGAGGACCAGTCGCCTGGCCTCCACGATCCCCTGACCTAAATCCATTAGATTTCTTTGTGTGGGGATTTCTAAAAGAAAAAGTGTACCAGACTCCCGTAACCATAAGAGATATGCTAATAGACAGAATCGGGAATGCATGTGATGAAATAAGGCCTTATTTGAATAATGCTATACCACGTTCGATCATTCGTAGATGTGAATTGTGTATTGAACAATTGGGTTTACATTTCGAGAACTACTTTAGATTTTGTATGTTTGTCCTAACTATCCAATAGCATTTTAGTTGTAAATAATTAATTTAATTTGTTATAAATAATATTGGAAAATTAAACAAATTAATATTCTGTTTTTTGTGTTTATACTAAGTGACATATAAATCCGAACACCCAGTTTGAATGGTTTTATTTTAATAAAATTTTGTATAAGTACTTAATGAAGCATAATAAGTAAATGATAAAAATTTCAAAATGATTGCACTGCTTTAAAGCCCTTTGACCTTTAATAATGTGTGGATGCACCCTGATGTGCTACGCATTCTCCAACGCGAATAGGCATGCTTCTGATCAGGTGGTCAATGTCCTCCTGTGGTATATCATTCCAGGCAACCACCAACTCCTCTCCAAGTGCTTCTAGAGTCTGAGGAGGACGTTGCAAATTGAGCAATCTCCTACCCATCATATCCCACACGTGCTCAATTGGGGATAAGTCGGGAGATCTTGGTGGCCATGGTAACAATGTGACATCATTATCTTGAAAGAAGTCAATTGTGACTCTTGCGACATGTGGTCGGGCATTATATTGTTGGAAAGTTGGATCTGCCAGGGTGTCAAGATAGGGTAAAAGATGGGGTTCTAGAACTTCGTGGATATAACGCTGCGCGTTCATGTTACCTCTGATGAAGATTAAAGGTGACCTGGAACCATAAGCTATAGCACCCCAAACCATAACTCCAACAGTGTGATGAATATGTCTTTCAACAAAAAACTGTAGATTCCTCCTTTCACCACGTCGCCTTCTAACCCTGGCACGACCATCGTGCATGCCTAAACAAAATCGAGACTCGTCACTAAAGACAATACTGTTCTATTCCTGATCCTAGAGTGACCGTTGTCTGCACCACTCAAGGCGATTACGTCGGTGTTCTCGAGTTAAAGGGAGGACCCAGTGTGGCCGGTATGAAAACAAGCCAAAACTTCTCATTCGTCGGTAAACACTTCGCATGCCAATAGGTCTTCCGTGTTCTGCAAACCATTCATTTGCAATGGACCTGGTAGTGGAGAAACGGTCCCTTAAGGCCAATAATCTTAGGCGGCGATCTTCACGGTCTGTTGTTCTACGGCGGCGTCCAGTGCCCCTTGCTCCTGCCTACGGCCTTCTCGAAGCCATGCCTGACAACACCTAACCACAGTGTCTACACTTCTTTGCACTCTAACTGCAATTGCCCGAAAACAAAGTCCACCTTCCCGAAGTCCCACTATATGGCCCCTATCAAACTCACTAAGTTGACGAAATCGTACAGGTCTCCATACTCTAGGCATAGCAACCGATCGTAAAGGATGTCAAGAACCAAAATCCGCCAACGTTGATTCTTTACTGCGGCTGAAATATTCATTTTTAGAGCGTTAGTGAATTGAAAAAAAGCAGTATAAAAACCGGAATGTCTAACTGATAAGAGTGATAAGGCTGAAAATTTTTTCACTTGTTATTTACAGTAAGATAAATGCATTCACCAACTTTTATTAAAATAAAACCATTTAAACTGGGTGTTCGGATTTATATGTCACTTAGTATATTTGGAGTTAGGAATTATTGCTGAGTTTAAAAACACAATCTAAACGATCATCTTAATTACTTGTAATGCCCAAATCGAAAATGTAAAAGAAAATATTATTTTCCCATAAATAATAAAAAATGCATCGAACCTTAAAAATCAAAATATCTCGGTCATTTTAATACACTACAGGTACAGTAGAGAGCGCCCTCTAGCGGCTACAGTAAAACTATTTTAGAAAGTAAATTTAAACACCCTGTATTTCGGAAGCCACGCATTTTTCGACCCATGTTTATATAAGCTTTATGCATTAATTTTAAAAGTTATATCGAATCTTAAAGTTATGCAACAATAAACTGAAACACCCTGTATAAGGCAAAACATGTGGTAACCTGACCTCCTGGATGTAGCGCACGGCGGTCATGTTGCCTCTGATGAACACCAAAGGTGACCTGCCTCTACAGGGTGGCCCATATATAACTGACTGATTTAAATTGAGCGCCATTTTTGATACAAGCATTTCAGTAGGTAAAAGAGGAAATGAGAAGGCAGTTATTATTTGATTTCCAATTAGTTTCCACATTGAAAGTTAAATTCTGAAATATCGGAATTCTGCTGTCCTGTGCCCAAGCAGGGTTTTGTCACCGACCATGATTCTACTGATGTTGCGAGTAGAAAACTTGGCGTCTGTGCCTAACGCTTTTTATCGCACAATATTTTCAATGTGTCTACTTATACCAAAAACAGAATGCTTTACTGTTAAGTAGCTTGAATTGGTATTCTCCTCATTCCATATAAATATTTTCAGAGCTATGAGCTCTGAGATATATACAGGCGCTTAAACAACAAATTATGCTTGAGAGTAATAATAATCTACGCTACTACTCAGCCTGTTGTGCAGAAAAAAAGGTCACTCATGTTACTTTAGAAGCAAAAACTATGAAGTATAATTACTGAAGACCTTTCTTGTTCAGACAGATCCGGCTGTTCACTGAGAAATATCCTTTTTCTGGAAAATATTCATTAAGCATTTGACATTCAATTTCATGATAAAATATTAGTGTGCTCACGGTCGAAAAAGGAATAATTTCTTTTTGTATATTTTTGTTAGTTACAGTTGCTAAAATCTAGCTTGCATGATGATAGCCAATGTTCAGCACTTTTTAGCAAATTGGAGGTCTTGGCAAAGTTTTTCAATATTTTGCTTCACTTTGCGGCATGTCTAACAAGTACGGACACTGAAATACAAACCTGTCTGACGGCTAGAAGTCGTTGTGAACAAGATAGAATATAGTCAGCTGGATAGCGAAGCGACAATCTGCCACGTTGACAATATTTATTACACTAGTCCTTTGAATCAAGATGCATGTTGAAAATATGCGTTAGCTTATTATCTATGCCCAAATAAATTTGAGCCCACACATTTTTGAATTGTGAATTGTGTCGAATCTGTTTAAGATTTTGGTCAAACCAATCTAGCACTCGTATTGCACAAAGTTATTTGTTACATTTTCCGATCGCAGCGCTATCCCAAAATGTAACATTAACTCAGGATGTGTTGATTTTGTTACCATCGGTGATTTCGCTTTCCCTGTATACGTCAGCACGTTATCAACGCTCCTTAATATTGGCAGTTTGCATACTACCTAATACTTACGCAGTTATCTGAGAATAATGTTCAATGCATTCTTCCAAACACCTCCTGTCCTCAACAGACTCGAGTCGTTCTTTCAAACATGCTACTTGTATGATGGCCTCTATTAACAGGGTGCAAAGGATCGAGACATATATGGAAGCCATTGTAGCATTGTATACTGAAACAGTGGACTGAAACCAAAAATACACCCTCCAGTGGATCCATGGAGGAATATAAGTGGCTAACGGAGCAGCCTTGCCCTGAAGCATTGCTAGTATTGGTCCAAAGGTACATAGGAAACCGTTCACCCCATAGAACATTTTTTTAATGAAGTACCCGCTGCTCTTCCACTTATACACATACTACAAATAGAAATATTTCCATGCGATTGCTTACATTGTCATATATGATCTGTATTTCTAAGCCTAATTGAAACAGCAAATAAACAAATTGGCCTTATACATGGTAGAGAACTGTGGCGGACGCGACAATGCAAAATTGAAGACCTGAAAAAATTCACGGCGTGGCACTGAAAATGACTCTTACCTGGGTCCCTCACGTGATTGGACAGTCACTTGCACAAAACTGACGGATCCGTACAAACTGAGGTGCAAAATTGTTTTTCAACAACACGCGATTCTATGGGCGATATTCGATTTTCGCCTTTTCTAGCAGACTGCTAGAACGAGATTTAATATCAGTCTCGGTCCATAGCTACTATATCGATATGCTCATTCCCTCACGGAACGCCCTGTATAGCTTACTTGTGTCGTCAGAATGAGGTTCTAGGTATCATCCAGCTTCCTTTGAGTCTTATGATTTCCAAAACGCCATTTTTATGCAGTTTCAACAACAGGCTGGATGCAGGATTTGCAATACTCGACTAGATATATCATAAAATCACCACTAAGTTGGTCCACTGTAGCGTTTTCGTGCCAAACCTATAAGGTATACTTTATCTGAAGTCACTTGAAACACTGTGAAATACCGGGTGCGTTTTATATATCTATATTTAACGCGCTCTGTTGCTGCAAAAATCGCCAAATTTTGCAGCAAATATCCCCCGTATAAGATCAAAGGCAGTTTCACCGGTCCACGTGGAGTAAAGCACCCCTATGCGTGGACATAGCCAATGAGAAAGCGTGTATTTCAGAGCTCTGAACGAGTGCAGGTGGCTACTGAAAACTGAAACAGTTTAGCCAGTGCCGTGTAACGGTGAATAAACGTGTTTTCTTTAGTCTGTCCGTGTTTTTTCATAGATTTTATTAGTTTGTGTGTTTTTGACTTTTGAATACTCAGTTTACTTGTTGATTTAATTGTTGTGTTGATTGTTCTTGTGTGTCCTAAATATGGCTCTTTGGAGACCTTGGGAAAATGCTCCAAGCCACGAGGAGATGGTTGATGAACCTGTGCAGGCAGAATTCTTTCATAAAGATTTAGAGGAACAGACCCAAAGAGTAATCCTAAATATGTATGATTGTCTGAAAAACGAAAATCCAGATTCCTCACTAAATCAAATTTTAAACAGAATTTGTATCCTGACAAAAATCAGTCGGTCTACCATTTATCGGGTTATAAAAAGGGGAAATGTAGTCAACCATTCCTTCCACAGAAAGCGCATAGGGAAAAAATTAAAAAGAATAGACGTGGGTTTTCAGGAAGTTATTCGTCGTATAATATATATAATATATTTTATAAAGAAAATTTGGTGCCCACGTTGGAAATGATACGGGATAAATTAAAAGATTATCCTGAAGATTTTTATAATTACAAATGCTTAGACTCACTGCACTGTATTGTAAAACTGTGTGGTTTTCAATACAAAAAATTAGATAAAAGAATGGTGATTATGGAGTCGTCTCGAATCGTTGAATTGCTCCAAGAATTTTTGCACAAAGTTAAAATCTATAGAGAGCAAAAAAGAAATCTGATTTACCTGGATGAAACGTGGTATGATACCCATGATGTTGTGCAGTACGGCTGGGTTGACGAAAGCAACAAGTGCATTTTAAATGCACCATGCAACCGTGGAAAACGAATCATTATTCTCCATGCTGGCAGTGAAAATGGATTTATACCTAATGCCTTGCTGTTATCTGCCAAAAATATCAAAGAATCATGTGCCGACTATCATGAGGACATGACCTCCAACTTATTTGAAAAGTGGATAGAGCAGCAGTTAATACCAAACATTTCCCCAAATTCAGTGATTATTATGGACAATGCGCCATACCATTCCAGACAGAAAAACAAAATTCCGAATACAGACACAAAAAAACAAGAAATTATTGATTTTATGAAGGATAAGGGAATGGAAATACCACAAAAATCAACCAAAGCCATATTATTGGATCTTATTAAAAGACAAAAATTTTAAAAAGAGTATGTTGTTGACAATCTGCTGCAGCAAAATGGCCATGAAGTATTACGTCTACCTCCCTATTACTGCATTTTTAACCCGATTGAGTTGGTCTGGGCTGCTTTTAAAAAAAAGTAAGAAAACATAATCAGACCCCTCAATTAAGTGAATCGCTATTGGCCACAATAAGAGATGCAGTATCTCATATTGCTGCCACAGACCTATGGAAGCAGTGGTCTAGGCATATTATTGAAAAAAAAATGAATATTGTGTTTTGCCTCCTGTAAATCCCGTTGTAATTCCTATACAAGATGACTCTAGCGACAGCTCCGAAGGCGAGGATGATATATAAATACCTATAATGTAAGTCTTTATATACCTTTTTATATACCTACCTGCTATGTAAATATTTGCCTATGTCAAACGTTGGAATTCTGTAATTTTTCCATTTCTTAACTTTCAGTCAACATAAATTAAACTCCCAATATAAGTATTTTTTATCCCAAATCAAAAAAATAAGAAGATAGTAAAATCCATTTATTGTGATATAAAAACAACGCGCCGACCAAAGGTTTTTATGCTATTTCAAGTGACTTCAGATATACCATACCATTGAACTGTTTTATGCTCTATCATATGATTCGTCAAATAATTTTATGAAAAAAGCGAGAACAAGGTGTTTATGAACATACTTCCGCTTAAATTTTTAGCTACTATTTTTAAGAAAAAATTATTTTTTATATTTTTGAAAGCACTTCAGGCATTTTTATCTTTAGTGTGTTATATAAAATGATACATTAAAGTGCAACAAAAAATTTATATTGCACCCCCAGTAGCGTTCCTGCAAACATGTGTTCAAATTTTTTACAAAGAAATTGGTACGCCTGTGATATTTTGGAAGATGAATTTGTATCTAGTTAACTTGATCGATACCCCAGCCTCATCTATGAGAATTTGTCTTATCTGTACAGCGCCATCCATGAGACACTAACCGCTTCAGAGTATACAGGGTGTTCATTTGAAAGCCTCCAACCACGGATTTATCTTAAACCACTGATCAAAAGAAAAAACGCCAAGACACGTTAAAAGGTCTGTTACGGGGGATAACTTTGTAACCAAAAACTACTTCACCCCCTTTCACCCTCTGCCCCCCCAGGGTCATTCCCTTGAAAATTTTAAATGACAAGTGGTATCGAGTAATAGCTTGTTTTTTCTGTTCTGTTATTCTGACGTTTGTTTTTTTTTAAATCAGTCGATTCCCTTTCGGGAAAATTAGAAAGGTCCTTGTTTATCTCAATTGGTTCAGATAGAAAACAAAAACACATGAAAATATCACTTTTTATTTCAATAAGTGTTCAAAATGCTGCCTGTTAGGGTTAGCCAAATCAATTCGTTTATAGTTTAAAACGGAAACTACCAACATAAACAGACGTTCGGAAGATTAGACGTGGCAACAACCAAATAACAACCCTAATTCATTTTCCGCATTCTTTTCATCATCACAGATATCCGGGGTGAACTGTATTCATTGGTATACCTGTTTAGTTATTTGTTGCTAAGGCAAAGAAAGAATTTAATTTGCTGTCAGTTACCTTTGTGACAATCTTGGAATAGTGAAACTTAATTTATTGATTCAGATTTTACTTCCAAAAGAGTCTCGAAAGAGTGGAAATGATTCGAATTTATGGTGCCCAAAATCAATGTGCTCAAACTGGATCTGTTACAAATCAAAAAACGTAATCATCGGAGTGCTTTGGATGAAGCCGCTCAAGTTGAAGTTTTGGGTCATTTTGGAATTATTCCTAATACTTCATTATCCAAAATTGTTGCTGCGACTAGTATTTCATTAGGCTCTGTACACAAATTTCATCCGTTCAAAATGAAAATATTGCAATTGTTAACCGAAAATGATTTCGATAGGCGAGGTGAGTTTTGTGAACAAATGACTGCAGTGATTAATGATAATACCATTTATGTAGAGAATGTCTGCTTCAGCGCACATTTTATCTAAATGGATTTGTTAATAAGCATAACTGCAGGTATCGGAGCAATTAAAATCCTCATGCTTTTGTAGAAGGGCATACTCAGTACCCCCAAAACATTAATGTATGGGCAGGCATTTTAGGAAACAAAGTTATTGGGCCATTGTTTATTAATGGAAATTTGAATGGAGCCATTTATTTGGATATGTTGTAAAATGTCACCAATCCGCTCATCACTGAAACCATTGAAAATCAAATAGAAGAGGATCGACTCACTAGATGAGGCTGAAATATATTTCCAACAAGACTGCGCTCTTTCTAACTATGTTCTTCCGGTTCGGCAATGGCTAGGCCACGAGTTTCCAGATAAATGAATAGGACGAATAGGCTTATAGAATGCTACCATGATATCCCACATATTTTCGAAAATGTCCGTCAGGAATTTGAATATCGCCTATATCATTGTTTGGCCATTAACGGGCACCATTTTGAACACTTATTGAAATAAAAAATGATATTTTCGAGTGTTTTTGTTTTCTATCTGAACAAATTAAGATAAATAAAGATTTTTCCAATTTTCTTGAAAACGAATCGACCGATTTTAAAAATCAAACGTCAAAATGGTTTTCGATAAACCCATGGCAAGTAGTAAATAGAAGAAAACATTGAAATATGCCATTTCTTTGTACATCCTTCTACAATATGCTAAAATTCAAAATCGTATTTGTAATGAAAAACTAAGTCATTTCAGACATTTATGTTCATATCAGTTTTTCTTTGCGAAATTTTCTGAAGAATTATGTCCTGGAATTTTAGGATGTACTCGTATCATTAAGGAACATCCTTTTTAAGACTCTCCAATTGTTTTGTTTTTTATCCGTTTCAATTAGGATCAGAAATACTTATACAATGTTGTGTCTTACAGTATCCTTACCAAATACTCCTTATGACTGTGTGGCTGGAATGCTGCTGATTCTAGTTGACATATCATAGCATGGAGATGTTCGCTGTTCAAGAAAATGCAAACTACCATCATCGGGTTGGTCACGTTGGTTGTATGGATGAACATTACTGAATTGAAGTCAGTTACTGTGAGGGTTTCTCGCTTATCGTATAAATACATGAAGCCACATGTTAGATAGATGATTAACGACACGACAATCACCCCTGCATAATTAAAAATCATTGTCTTTTGGTACAGCGAAATTGAAAAGTTGTGTATGAACAAAACACTAATGCTACAAATCGCTCAAAGTATGGTTTTGATGTGTCACAGTAGATCGAATGATTTTCCACCAAAAACGGTTCCATCAATTTTTTTCGCTCAAAAATAGATGCAATTCTCCGCTCCTGGTATCAGTTAGAGGTATATTTCCTGTACTTGAAGATTGTCTATTCCACAAAATCTGATTTCCATCAATTTCAAGCTTCACCATATTTTGTTGCTCCATAGCTCCTTATGTACAGAGGCATTTCTTGTTTTGAGAACTATCTGAATTTTGATAAAATTTGCGTTATCCATTCAACAAATTTTGACCATAACTAAACATGCAATGCTAGCTCTAGAGTGTTGTCAGTGGGGTTGAATGGCAGATTCAGCACATGGGAATATCAGAAAAAAGCTCATAATATGTATTTCAGCATTTCTGCTACTAAAATCGCCTTACATTTCTCGAAAACGAATTCAGACTACGAGGGCAGTTCAATAAGTACCCGTGTTTGACGACAGAGGGCGTTCCTGAGGGAAGTTAATGTTATCATCGTGTGCTGCATGAATTGCCGTTATGAAGTGCTGCCGCACCCCCGTATTCACCTGATCTGGCCCCCTGCGACTTTCTCTTGTTCCGTGACATGAAGAAACGGCTCACAGGGAAAACAATTAGCTCAAACGAGGAAGTCATTGCCGAGACAGGCGTATTTTGGAGAGTTCGACAAATCCTATTTTTTGAGGGGGTTAAAAAATGGCAGGAACGTTGGGAAAAGTGTATCTTTCTAAAATATATCTAGTATATATATAGTAGTTATTGAACCGCCCTCGTAGTCAGAATGAGGCATGCGATTTGTTTTGTTCCTATATACCCCAGTCAGTTATCACGAAGCAAGGGCAAACATATCGACTTAGTGAGACCAGCTTTCGTTGACTCGAATGAATTATCAGAGGTCATAAATGTGTACAAAAATAATTTTTGAAGCGCTTAGTAGCATTCATGCCCACAAGCTCCTTGTTTAACAAAAAAAACTGCGTTACTGGTCTGTGCGAAAAAATCGAATAAGGATCGTATAAACAAATTGATTCAACATGACTTTCACTTAGACGCACAATTTTCAAAATAAAATTTTAATTAACCAGTACATCACTGTGACTAGCGTTATTAAAACAGCAGCAACAGGGCGTTTCTCTGTAAACTGGTCAACTTATTTGGAAAAACTGTCTTGCCCACTTTTTTGCTTAAATATTTGAAACATCTTACTTAGGAGATGTATACTTTCAAGCTTAATGACAAACCACGGGGAACCCAAAAATATAGGTCATAATTTAGGAAATATTAAGCATTTTCTAAATTATTGATACAGGGGACTGTCAGTTATGGCAGGGGACTGTGTACTCAAATTAAAAATACCAATATATTAGCAAAATTAAATATTTTATTTTCTCTAAGCTTGGAAATTAACAATTATAGTAATTCTTCGGTAAACTACGAACAAAATCAATAATTTTATTATACTCTTGTTACAGGTACAAAACTTTGTAAGCTTAAGGTAACATAATCAGTGTTTTACACACAACCATTAGTTTTACGAAGCTTAACTTTTTTCGAAAACATTAATAGGTGGATCAAATGTATAAAATAGTCTATTTTTCCCTTTGAAAGTATGTTTGGATTAGGTAATTTTTCAATCACTTGATCCATTGTAATATCTGCTATATCGTCCGGATCCATTCTAAATGTTTGACCTTTATTATCGTAAAGATTTAAAAATGTAACTCGAATTTCTCCATCTTCATCGATTTTGTTTATTACGCTTACATATCTACTTTGCATATTTTTTTTGGACTAATTCAACTAGGATGTAATCTCCATTGATGAGTGCTTTAGCTGCGGAAGAGCTGGGTCCAGCTTCATCAGGTTCTAAGTCGGTGAATTCTTCAGCAACTGTTAGTTTAACTTTATTTTCATAGTTTAATTTTCCGATGTTAAAGTGATGGCAACCATCTTTGTTAGAAAAGCAGCTTAGATGTTTCATCACTATCCCAACTGTCTCGGATTTTAAGTCCAAAGAGTTATAGAATTTCGTCCCCCGAGTAGTTTTGCTTTTTTTATTCTTCTGTAATTAATCACTTTTGTGTTTTCCATATGCCATAATTTTTATTTTTCCACTAGTTTTCTGAATACTACTTCAAAAGCGTTTTTTCTTTCAATGTTTCTATGTTTGAGAAGATTTCTTGTAATTGTTCTTTTAACACCTCACCAAACAATGCTTTCTTGACTAGATCTTTCTTAGTTTCTGGACTATCTGCTAGTTAGTATCTTTACACATTTTTTTTTCGTTTTTCATCAGTCTAGAAACACATTTTCTATGTTCCAATAATTTTCTTTTTAGTAACTTAATCTCATCTTTTTTCTTTTTTATTTGATATCTAAGTTTCTTCTCCCTATTAATTCTTTCCTTCTCCGCGGGTCGTTCTTGAGGCGCTCGTACTTTTTCCATTCAGCATCCCTTTTCTTTTGTAAAATTTCCTCCTTCGTCTGTGTTTTCTTCCTTGGTGCCATGTTGTAACAATATCTTGTGCCTATAACAATGCTGCATACACATTAGGACAGTCCTCTGGAAGTAAGAACAATTCCCTGTCCTGTTTAAATCAGGGGACTGTTGCCACGGGACTGTTCAGCTAGATTAGATTGATAAGTAGCACAATACAGTATCCATGTGTTTTATTTTGATGCATACAATTGAAAATTATCTATTTGAATAAAGTACATTATGTGAAATCTGACTTAAAAACACAGAAAGGAATTTAAATATTTCTTACCAGAGGACTGTAGGCTTTTAGGTTCTGACGCGGGTAACTCGGAGCAACACGTGTGCAGCACTGAAGAAGATGGCCTCAGGGCCGCTCTGGTAGCAACCGCGTCAACTTCACTCTGTTTGCGTTTCGTTGTACGCAATAAAACGATATTTTTGCGTTCTAGGCTTTATGCCACGTCATTTGAAATATACACAGGGGACTGATCGCTATATGGTGTGACCAACTCAAACTAATCTGTTTTTTCTTTTTTGATAGATAAATGAAAAAATAAACACTGTTAATAATGCCGACTGTATTATGTTTAAATTAATACTTGAATTAGTCGATTTCTAAACTTATTTGTTTCAATCCCTGAATCAAAAGCCATTGCAACGCGTTGGTGACATACCAGAGGACTGTTTTTTGAGCATTACAACAATGTTTTTAGAATATTAACAGTAGTTTATATAGATAATTCATACTAAGGACAGGTGGACTAGATTATTATGTTTCGAAAATAGTAATGAAATAAATAATAATCTCTTCTATTTTACATTATTATGGTAGGAGACAACGAGTTGACCACTTTACAGAGAAACACCCAGTAATCAATATTTTTCCGAATATAACAAACATGGATTTTAGTGAGATTTTCTGCAAAAAGCAGTGTCGTACAATTTTACGTGGTTAGTCTCCCTTGAATTTTCAAGATTACAATATGTAACACCCTTCGTACAATTAACATTCTTACAGTTTTGATGAAATTTTGAGTGTCAAGAATATTATGCAGAAACAGGAAAACCTCACGCAAGTTTGTTTTTTCTGGTCATAGCCGGAAGAACTGCTCAATTTTGACATACTGATGTACATTTAAGAAACACATTGAAAAAAATGATTATTGTAATTTCAAAAGTTTTGTTGATTATTTGGTATTTCATAACATTCAGTTAGTGACACTAGGCTTGTAAATATAGATGTTACATCATTTGAATATACTTTAAGCGTTCAATCTAACAGTACGTTCAAAGTTACCTCTGTAAATTTTATAGAAGTATCGGTTGAAAAAAGTTTGTACATCTCTCGAAGTATCCCAGAAGCCTACTAACTTTAAGGCAAGGATATCTGGTTCCAGTAGGGACACTAGATCGGGCTTCATTCTCTATATTCTCTATACATGTATTGTACAATGAACGAACAAGCTACATTTATTCAGTCCTTTCAGTTTATGTATTCATGGATGCCTTGTAATTTGACTTGTCGCACGGTTAATATGGGTACATATAATACAGGATGGAACTCTTCTCACATGTCTATAAATTATTTGCTGGACATATTAAAAAGGCCTTGACCATCAAGTAACTCTCGTGTTGATACGAAGAGACAGATAAAATAGTACCTACATAAAGTAGAAACTATAAAATAGTAAAATAGCAGCAATATTTTCTACAAAAACATTATTCAGAATCTTGCTACATCCCTAATCATGTGCGTTTCTCATCTACACTCAGCTTACAATAGCGAAACAAGTATAACTTTTAAACATCTGAACCGATTTGAATCAAACCTAGCTAAGAATTATATCGACAGACTTTCGATCAAAAAACCGCTCTCAAACCGTTCATCTGTTGGGGAGATACGATACCTCCCGACAGACACACAGATACAGCCTCTGTTTCAGGAGCTTAATAAGAGCAAGGATGAGCTCTACAAATAATGTCTCACTCTTGACGGAAAATACTAATGATATCCACTGTCAAGTCATAGCATCAATGTTTGGAGTTTTACAATGCGTAACGCTTTAGTATCTTCTGAAACTTATCGTAAGATTGCTTTGTTGAGATATCTTCATGTTTCACTTGCCGCCAAATAAAACAACATAAGTAGAGTTGAAAATTTACTTTCAGCCACCAAGTACAAATCCGAAAGTCTCAATGACAATATATCTTCCTTATCTGTCTTCCAGATGACAGTTAAGTTGTTTTGGCCACTACTATATAAGTATATTCCATAACAGCTCCAGCGTTTCTGTACCATGCCCATATCGCGCAAAGACATCTTTACAACGTTGAGCTGGCACGGTGTACAACCGACAAAGTCTATGACCGCCTAGGGTAGGCATTCCGGCTCCAAAAAGACATTCAGGCT